CAGGGTGATCCAGAGTGCGAACAGTGAGTTGTGTGGGCGCCCAGTCGCCATAGCCAGTTGAAGAGAACTCATATCTGGTTACGATATCTTAAGTACTGTCAGGGTGCATGTCGCCAGTTGCTGTATCGTTGTTTGCATGCAAGACAAGTGTGAATAATCGGAGTGTGAATGCATGATGATGGAAATGTTATAGATGACTATTTAAGTGAAACAGTAGCCTAAAGATAGTGGTGGCGATCAACTTCGCCTACAGATGATAGCTGTGAGGATGATAGTGTTGATGATCGTGATACAACAGACGATAGCTATGAGGATAATAGTGCTGATGATCGTGATACTCCTTGGTGAAGTCTCGGAGGGGGTTCCCGACCATTGTGGCTATTAAGACGACATTTGTCCATACCTCGACCCTTCTAAACCTACGGGTCTTTTCTAAGCCCTCAGACGTGGCCTCCAGAAAGCGGGCTTCCGTAGGAATTTTGTCGGATCGACACAAGGGACACAACCAGGCTTTGTCTGAGTTTCGGTACTGAATGCATGAACCATGGGCCCTGGAGAGAGTGCCGACAATCTACCCATTCGACGTACCCTTCCCAGCTAGGACGCATAGGGACCGATTAGACACGCGAGATTGCCTCGAAGAAGTAACAAAACTTGTCAGGCAAAGAGAGGAGGGACGAGGATGAGAGGGGAGAAAGGGGGCCTCCAGAATTACCTCCATCGCCCATTGTCACGTGTCACTTCTTAGCACGCGGAAGGATGGCTGCTTGTTCGTACTGCGGCCCACTGACTGGTTCCGGTTCTCTCCACGGGATAATTTCTTCGCCCTTGGTAACCTTGGCCGGTTGGTGTAGTCATGTTAGCCCGTCCACGTTCCCGTGCCTTTCTGTCTTCCGATGGACCATGTCGAAATCGTACTCCTGCAGCCGCACTGCCCAACCTCCAATCATGCCCGTGTAATTAGTGAGTCTCTTGAGAGCCAACAGGGGTTCGTGATCCGTAACGAGGAGGAACTTCTGCCCGTACAGATGCTGATGGAAGTGTTCAGTCCCCCACACCACCGCATAGCATTCTCCTTGAGGTGTCGGATCGTCTCTCCTTTCGTCTTGTACTGTCCTGGATGCGTACTCGATGACGTGCCCTCGACCGTCTTTCCCCTTTTGCGCCAGAATAGCGGAGATCGCCTCCAGCTGCCAGTTTGTGATAAGTACAGATTGCTTCTCAGGGTCAGGCCGGATCAAAATAGGGGTCGTGTCCAAGGCCTCCTTCAATGTGGCGAAGGCCTGCTCGCACTCAGCATCCCACCTCAATGGCTGGTACTTGTGCAAGACGTTTGTTAGGGGGCGTGCGATTGTCGTGAAACCCTTGATAAATCGACGATAGTACGAGGCCTGTCCCAAGAAAGCTCGAACTTGCGTCAGCGACGTGGGTGTCGGAGCGTCTCGAACTGCTGCGACTTTTCTTGAATCCGGCCGCAAGCCCCCTCGCGTCACCACGTACCCTAGGAACGAGATTCCGACAGGAAAAACTCGCTCTTCTCCAGGGCAATTTTGAAGCCCGCATCTCGCAGTGCTCCAAATGTCCATTCGATATGCTGCGCAGTCCGTGAAACGATTCCAAATACACCAGGACGTCGTCCATGTACACGATAATGCAAACGTTCACCATTCCCTGTGTCAGCCGAGTCTTGTTAACGAAATTCTGGAGGGTCATGTTCATTGCTCTTTGAAACGTAGCCGGAGCATTGCAAATGCCCATAGGACATCGAACCCATTGCCACGTTCCTTCGAACAGTACGCATGTCGTTTTCGGTCGGTCCTCTTCCTTCACCAATATGTGATGGAACCCATGGCGGATGTCGAACTTGCTAAAGTAGTTAGCACACCCAATTGCATCCAGCAAATCATCAATCCGCGGGAGGGGATACACATCTTTGATCGTGATATCATTCAGTTTGCGATAATCGATGCAAATGTGAATGGATCCGGTGTTTTTAGGAACTAAAACCATGGGGAAGGACCACGGTCCGGTAGCAGGCTCGATCCAACCATTGGCCTCAAATTTTGTGATCCGCTCCAGAGCGGTTCGTCTTTCGACTAACGAGTACCGGTATGGTGTACAGTGAATCAGCGGGTGGGTGCCAGTCTGGATCTCGTGCTGTAAGACCAGGGATAGTCCTATGTCTGTGTCTCTTGTACTAATCGCCCTTTGATATTCGGCTAGAATGTCTGCGATGAGTTTGTGTATCTCGTCCGGCACATAGTCCAGCACATGCAGTTCGTAGTGGCAGTCTCGTATCGCCACCGGTAGCTGTTTTGTCCTGGCCGCGTGGGTCTTTTTCGTGTGTGGGGATGATATAAAGGAATGGTCGGAACGCTAGGAGAAGATTGTGGCAACCATCTGAGCTTCCTCTTCCCTGATTGCCACATTTCCCTCCAGGGTGATACCATCTTCGACATCCCGGAGGTCCACGACCTTCTCCTCGACTTTTAGTCCAATATCGAACGGGGCGAGGGCATACAGCCCAAGGGGTTCCGGAGTCCAATTTTCGGCACCTCCCCGTAGTAGTCGGATTTCTTTTCCTCTGGTGAGCAACGAGCCAAGGAGGAATTCTTGAGATATCGCAGAAGGACCACTTATCCCGATATGTGGATAACAATGGGGTGTTTGCCTCGTATATGGTTCGAGGGGGTTCCCAAGAATCCGTCAACCGGGATATCTGAAAGGTTTTCATCGCTTTCTGTCGAAGTGGGTAGCAGACTCTTTGTCGTGTTAGCTCGAGAATTTGAGGATCTGCATCTTCCTCGCTCTCGGAGGTGGATGATGATAGTGTGGGTTCGATGTCGGATTCGTCCGTGGATTCTTCCCACCTTATCATTCGCAGGATTTCGCCGGGTTCCTGTCGTTGTTGCTCAGGCATCGAAGTCGTTCGAAGGGTGAGGCGCATCAGAATGGTGTGCGGCCTTCCTCCAGTGTTGTGGAGGATGACTGCTTGTCATTCAAAATCCAGCGTAACCCGCAAGGCTGTGAGGGTTGGTAATCCGACGAGGACATCGTACGTGGTCACGTTTAGGACCACTACGTCGCCCAAGGCGTGGACCTTACCTATTCGAAAGGCGACGTTTGCCATCCTCCCTGCGACTCGGATCTTAACTTCGTCGGCGGAAACGAAGTGATCACCCTCCGCGAGAGGAATCACGTCTTTCCGCCGGCCGGCCCGCTTGACCACCTGTAGGGAGATGGCCAGGACCGCGGCTCCGGAATCAAGGACCGCACTGTAGGGGTTTCCCAAGACTTCCACGTCGCACTCCGCGGATTTCCACGGTAGGGCTTTGATCGGTAGGAAGTGATCGTCTTTTCGAATTAGGCCCATCCGGACGGGTTCGGAGGTGCTTGGCTCCTTCGGCTTTGGGTCTCTAGCGAGAGCTTTTGCAGCTGCCAATTTGGCGAAGGTATATGGCTTCCGGTTTGCCTTGCAGTGCTGTAGCATCCGGTCATTAGCCTGTTTGCAGATGGTTAGCAGGTGTTCGATGGGCAAGGGGATGCGGTCATCCAAAGCACGAACTATATCTATCACATCGATTTCTCCCGTAACGAACGCGGTTCCCCCGTATTCCATTTCCCTCGGGGAGGGCCTCCATTCTGAGACTTCGTTGTTGTCGGGGGAAGGTTGGATGGCCGCTATCATGCCAAGGCCCGGGTATCCCAACGATATGTATTGATCGAGCGGGATGAGCTCCGCCGCTTCTTCCGTGACCCCCAACGGGCTTGCACCGTTGTCGGTTTTTTCTACCATTGTGGCCACCCGCCCAGGTCCGTTAGGAATTGGTGCTGCAGCCGCTAGCGCGGTTCTTGTTTGTGTGAGTTGGTGGGGGCAGTCCCAGGCTATGTGCCTGGGCTGATGACACGTGTAACAAACACTTACATTAGCTGCCGCCGCGCCCACTGCTGGAGCAGGGGCTGCGCCTTGCATCATTGGTGCTGCTCCGACTGCAATGGGGCGCATCGATCTCATCAATGATTCGATCCGCGCATTGTGCTCGCGTTGTTCCTTCTTACTCCCTTGCATTAGG